GTAAGGGTGGAAGAAGAAAGGATTTTCTTTATGGAGTGTTTTTGACCACCCAAAAGCCAAAGGTTAAACTTTCTGTGCTCCTGAGGTTCATCATATTTCTAGAGTTAATGATTAATTGATGTTGTGTTGAAGCCTCTGTTCTGTTGATTTCTCCCCTTCATATCCAAAGTCTGGATGTTTGTTTTGTTTGGTTTTGTTTTCAGTGTAAGTAAAGACCCACACATCAAGTTATCACTGAATAATCCTAGGTCAAACTTTATTTCAATATCTTTTTTGTTGAAAACTTATTTTCAATGGGAGCTTCAATTTAATTCTGTTGCTTTAAAAACATTTGAAACAAAATATATCAGGGTTTTCAGAATACCTGTTGGACTTACATTGAGTTATCCTTAAACAACCAGTCAGGTTGAGAAGATTTGGCATATACATGTTAAAAGCTTCAGTGAATTAAAAGCATGTTGTGGCACTGACTGAAATGTTGCAGGGATGCCTGGGTGAGTGAAATCGGGACATGAACACATGACAGCAGTGGTTTCTAACCTGGGGCCTGTGACTGGCTGTAGAAGTCCTGGGAAGGCCCTGGGACGAGAGGCAAGAGTTTGCATGTCTGTGCTTCTGCCTCAGGGGAGGATTTGTGGCTTTCACCCAATTTTCAAAAGGGGTCATGTGCCCCCAAAAGATTAAGAGCCCAAAACATTTGAAAATGCTCAGTACATTGGACTAAGTTTTGAAAATTTGATAAAAAGGATCTTTTCAGAGCACCTATACCTTCTCTTTCCATATGAAAAATTTAGAATGTTATAAATATTATAAGATGTACTACTTAACATGCTATTAAGAATTTTAAGCCCCAATTCAATGGTTATAAAAAGTATTTCACAAGTAGAGAAGTTATTTAATAAAAAGAGACTTCGTGGTTTAGGATGTTGGTTGGTCTTAATAGTTTAAATGGAAATTTTCCTGAGAACTGGAGGATGGGAGCTGTAGTGCTGTGGGTGGAAAATGTTACCTGAATGCCACTGGGAGGCGCTGTGGCACAGGGAGTGAAAGGGACCCAGCATCTACTATTCCTCAGCTTTCAACTTCATAAGACCTTGGACTGGTCATTTAATCCTACTCCAGGTCAGTTTTGCTATCTGCAAAATGAGATCTGTTCTCAATGTGCTTCAATGAGATGAAGGTATGACACATATCAAAGAGTTTTTTATTTAAAAAGTGCACTGTGGCTATTAAATATGTTGGTAAAGATTGCCAAGATATATTAAGTATAAAGATTAAGGTGCAGAATAGTAATTATAGTATAGTGCTTTTTTGTGTATGAGTTTTTATTAAAAATTTATTGCTGATAATATATTATTATTATTATTATTATCTAGAAAAATAAAACACTGGTTAGGGAATTCAGAATGGGGAGTCAGGCTTCTACTTCATTAAATATATTCACAGGGCTATCTGGGCAATGGGATTATGGGCTGTTTTTATTTTTATTATTTTCTCTTTAAAAACTAAAATTAATTGTTTAAATTAAAATCAAAGACCCTTGGGAAAATGGGTGCTTCATAGATGTTAGGGAGGATGATTATGAATGAAGAATAACCATGGCTGATTTCAAGCCTGGTCATAGAAAGGAGGGTATTTTCAGCAAGATTCTTCCCAAGGAGGAGGAAACCCCAAATTCACGTATGCAGGTCCCTTAAATAGAACCAACTCAGAGACAGTTTTCCTCTCTAAAAAACCTATGCCCTTGGCTGTGATAATTGTGCTGGACTTATTTGCAGGTAACTGCCTAATGCCCGGGCTAGAGCTTCTGTCCCCTCTCCCAGATGTTTTCCCTTTCTAATTAATCATGCTCTCATCAGAATACAAAACTCCGCTAACGCCTGCCATTTTCAGAAAACCCCCCACTGGCCCCACGTTCTTTCTTACTGCTGCCCCCTATCTCTGCTTCCCTTTACTGGCTTCTCTAAAGAGTAGTCTGCACTTGCTCTCCTCAGGTCCTCTCCTCCCATTCGCGCTTTCAGCTTTTTTGTTTGTTCGTTTGTGTTTTGGTGATGTGTTTTAAACTGATGTAACAGCCCAGAGAGAAGAGTAGAATGAACCCTCATATACGTCTCCCCCAGCTTTAGCATGATTAACCATGATCAATCATTGATCATGGCTAATTTTGTTTTACCTGTATCCTTATCCACATCTCCTTTTTCGTACTCTGAAGTGAATTCCATATACCGTCACTTTAGTACTCTCAAAATAATAATTTGGTTCCCTAGCATCTCCTAATCTGATCTTGAGTTATTTTTGTGACTTTTTCACAAAAAAGCATCATTATGAACTAATGTATTTAAACATATTGGATGAGTTTCAATCCATTGTAGTTGTTATGCACACCGATGCTCAGATTTTCCCGTTCCCACTGCCTCTAAACTTACTCCAGTGATGCCCACCACTCTTGTCAATGTTACCACTGGCCTCCACCTCCCAAGACCCCACAGTCAATTCAGTTCATTTAAAATTTTAAAATAATTAGTTCACATACTATAATATTCACCCTTTTAAAGTATACAATTCAGTGAGTTTTTTTAGTTTATTCACAAAGTTGTACAGTCATCACCACCCTCTAATCCCAGAACATTTTCATCACCTCTCCCCCAAAACCTCAGGCCCATTAGCAGTTACTCCTCATTTTCCCCTCCCTCGCTTCTCCTCACCATTCACCCACTTTCTGTCTCTAAGGATTTGTGTGTCCTGGACATTTTATACAAATGGAGTTATACAAGATGTGGCCTTTTGGCAGCTGGCAGATCAGGCAATACCACATTTCTGTGCAGCTAAACCATGAGTAACAACTGGGGAGCAAGACAGACCATGCAACCTAGGGTTCCAGTGTGGGGAAGTAAAGCCTCAAAACCTCTGGCTGTAAATACCTGTGAAAGTTTCAGTGGTGGGAGACACTCCCAGCTTCCCAGTAGAGTTCTTTGGAGAGACTCACAGGGTCCTAGGATGTACACAAACCCACCCACCTGGAATCAGCACCAGAAGGGCCCAATTTACTAGTGGGTATTGGGGGAAGTGACTGAAAGCTGACCCAGGGCTGAACAGGTGGCATTGTTCCCTCTTGGACCTCCCCCCCACATATAGCACCACAACGCAGCAATGTGGGTTGCCACACCCTGACAAATACCTAAGGCTCTGCCCCTTACAATGTAACTGTCTTGCTGAGATCAAGAAATATAGCCCCAATGAAAGAACAAACAAAACTCCAAAAATAGGACTTAGCAATGAAGAGACAGCCACCTATCAGGTGCAGAGTTCAAAACACTAGTAATCAGGATGCTCACAGAAATGGTTGAGTATGGTCAAAAAATGGAGGAAAAAGTGAATGCTATGCAAAGTGAAATAAAGAAAAATATACAGAGAACCAATGGTGAAAGGAAGGAAACCAGGACTCAAATCAACAGTTTGGACAAGAAGGAGGAAATAAGAATTCAAAAAAATGAGGAGAGGCTTAGGAACCTCTGGAACAACTTTAAATATTCCAACATCTGAATCATAGGGGTGCCAGAAGGAGAAGAACAACAGCAAGAAATTGAAAACTTATTTGAAAATAAAATGAAGGAGAACTTCCCCAATCTGTCAAAGGAAATAGACTTCCAGGAAGTTCAGGAAGCTCAGAGAGTCCCAAAGAAGTTGGACTCAAGGAGGAACACACTAAGGCACATCATAATTCCATTAGCCAAGATTAAAGATAAGGAGAGAATCTTAAAAGCAGCAAGAGAAAAGGAGACAGTTATCTACAACAGAGTTCCCATAAGACTATCAGCTAATTTTTCAAAGGAAACCTTCCAAGCAAGAAGGGACTGGAAAGAAGTACTCAAAGTCATGAAAGGTAAGGACCTACATCCAAGATTGCTCTATCCAGCAAAGCTCTCATTTAGAATGAAAGGGCAGATAAGTGCTTCCCAGATAAGGTCAAGTTAAAGGAGTTCATCATCACCAAGCCCTTAATATATGAAATGTTAAAGGGACTTATCTAAGAAAAAGAAGATCAAAACTATGAACAGTAAAATGACAACAAACTCATAACTATCAACAACTGAACCTAAAAAATAAAAACAAAAATGAACTAAGTAAACAACTAGAGCAGGAATAGAATCACAGAAGTAGAGATGACATGGAGGGTTATCAATGGGGAGGGGGAGGGAGGAGAATGGGGAAAAAGATACAGAGAATAAGAAGCATAAATGGTAGGTACAAAATAGAGAGGGAGAAGTTAAGAATAGTATAGGAAATGGAGGAGCAAAAGAACTTATATGTATGACCCATGGACATGAACTAAGGTGGGGGAATGCTGATGGGAAGGGGGCTGCAGGGCAGAGGGGAATAAAGGGGAGAAAAAAAATGGGACAACTGTAATAGCATAATCAATAAAATATATTTTAAAAAGATGTGGCCTTTTGCTATTAGTTTGTTTTACTTACCATAATGTTTTCAAGGTTTATCAACATTGTGGCATGAATCATGAGACCTCATCCTGACCATGAGGAACATTTGATGTGATTGACTTCTTTGTCCTTTTGGCTTCTGCAGCTCTTTCTCCTTCCCTCCCTCCCTCCCTCCCTTCTTTCCTTCCTTCCTGTTAATAAATTTTTATTGAAGGAAGTGTACCTGTTCTGATTCCTTCCACTACCTGAATTCCTCCCAAGTTTGAGCCTTAATCCTTTTTAAAGTAATTTTTGCTCAATCCAGTTTTTATGTCCGTCAGTCCACAGCTCTTTTAGTTGAGCTCCTTTGACCTCCACTTGAATGTGGTCATACTTCAGAAATTCCCCACCTGTAATTGTTGGGACCCAATTTCCTCAAGCAATTTACTTTAGGGCCTTAGAATTTAAATAGTAAGAAGTACATTGCTATTTTGGCAGATGATGTAAGATATATTATTTCTTAATTGTTTCTAAAATTGAAAAGTCTTTTCGAATCCAGTTTTTACTCATTGAGCCGAGCAAAAATGTTACAGGTCTCACTGTCACCACTGCAATAAAATTACTGTGATGGAAGCACAACCTGTGTCTCAATGTAGTACTGGAGCACCCTCTTTATTATGTGCCTCCTACTTCACTGGCTACCTCTCTCATTCTCCTCCAGTGCTCCCTCCTTTTCTTTCAGCCTTCCTAATACTGGTGAGCCTCGGGACTCAGGCATCAGAACTCTTCTCTTCTTTACCCTCATTCCAGAGGGGCCCTCATCCAGTCTCATGGGTTTTCATCCCAGACATATGCCATCAACTCCTGAATTTATATCCCCAGCCCAGGTCTTTATTCTTCACCTCTTCTTGGATGTCAATATGTGTTACAAAAACAACATGTCCAAAGTGGACTCCTGAGTCACCACAACCCCCTGCTTTCCAATTTGTTTCTCCTATAGCCACCCTTCAATCTAGACAACCAAAAACTTTGTCGTCAAGCTTAACTTGACTTCTCTTATCCCTCACTGCATCTATCAGCAAATCCTGCTGGACTTTACTTCAAAAATGTGTTCAGAATCTAGTTTCTTCTCATTGTCTTCATAGCTATGCCCCCTTGACTGAGTTCCCATTCAACTTGTTGGATAAGTGCAATAAGCTCCTGATTGGTGTCCCTGCTACCACCCCTCTGCAGAATATTCTAAGCAGCTTGAGGGCTCACTTTAAAATGTAAGGCATATCATATGTCTCTTCTGCCCAAAATTGTTGTGGATTCCCGTGTTGGTCAGAATAAGAGCCAAAGTTCTTACAGTGTTCTATTGATTCTTACAAGCCCTATGTGATGTGTCTTCCCCTCACCCCATCACACTTACCTTCTGCTACTTTCTACCTTGATTTCCACACTGGTTTGCTTGCTATTCCTCTTATACAACACACATTGTTCTCACCTCAAGGCCTGTTTTACTCTGTTCTTTCTACCTAGAATGCTCTTTTTCAATCCTTCATCTTTCAGTTCTGTTTATATATCATCTAATCAAGGAAGATCGCTCGGACCACAGTATTTACAATAGCAACTTGTACCCAACCCTTTCCCCACATTTCCTGTGCCACTTTCTCTGCTTTTCTTTTTTCCAGAGTACTAATCCACTGATATACATACACAAGTATATGCCTCCACGTGTGCGTACATTTGCACCTATACATACCATATGCACACACTTTCCACCTATGCATATATATGCATACATTTTCACCTGTGAATACACACATGCACATATATGTGCACACTTTCCACCTACACATGCATGTATACCTACTTGTTTACTAGTTTATTTTCCTATCAACTGTCTTCCCCAGTAGAATGTAAGCTTGTGGATGCTGGAACTTACTTTTGCTCTCTACTGTATTCCCAGTACATAGAATCATGCCTGGCATGTCATAGGCTCTCAATATATGTTAATTGAATGAGTGAATGCATTTTCTACATACTTCTTCCTCCCATAACCCCTCCCTTTGAGACAAGTGGCAAGAGCAGAAATTTTAAAGCATTATTTAGTTTGCCTTCTGACTGATGTGAAATGGTAGGGGCCTTCTGTTTTCCTTCTAAAACTTTGGCTGGTGAGGGATGACAGTCCCTCTGAACTGTGGGCTCACAGTGATTCCAACTGGACAGTGAGCACATCTTTCCCCCCTTTGGTCTCCCACAGCATCCGTGAGGAGTCAGCATTTATACCCATCCGTGAGCCTGGCACAGAGCCTTTCTTCCCTCCAGATGTATGGATGCTTGGCTTTTGTGGAGATGCCAAACAAACAAAGGAAGATTATTTTTTGGGCTGGGAATTACTTCCAAAAGCCAGTTCTGGTAGAAGTATTATCACAAAGGTTAGCACACCCAAATAGCTTGAAAACTGGCTCGAATAATTCTGCTTGCTACAAATAGAGATGAAAAGAAATTCTAAATGTAGTCCCAAATATTAGACTTTCAGAATCAGAAGGGCATTTCCCTCCTTCCCTCCCCTCCCTTTCTCTCTCCTTCCTTCTTTCTTTCCTCAAATAGAACATCATGGGCCAGAGAAATGAGGCAAATCTACAGGATTACACAGGTAACTGAAGAATCAGAGCTCGAACTCAGGTTTCCTAATTCTGACTCTTTTGAATACATTTTGCTGCCTTCCCAGTAAACAAGAAAATAATCAGAGAAGTGCTCAGTTGAATATCTTGGAGAAGTTAACTGCTTGGCTCTCAAAAAGCTCAGTGCCAGTGGAGAAGTAGCTAGAGTATCACCTAAGAGATGGAAAAATAAACATTTCTTGGTCTTTACCCACTCTAAAGTTTCTTGTTTATCTTTCTAATCCTGTAGATTTCTCTCAAGGCTATTATTTATCTTCAGCTCAAATCATTATTTGCTCATTTGCTTGCATAGAGCGTATGTCCTTCTATGGCAAGAGGGGACAGAGAGGGTCAAAAGAAAAATGTGTTATTTTAAAAATTACTACAAATAATTTTAATGTGCATTAAACATGGAAAAATAACAACAGCTAACATTCATTGAGCTTACAATGTGTGACACATACAATTATTATATTTTATACATTGTCATATCTAATCCTTATAACCTATAAGGTAAATACTGTTATCATCTCCATATTACAGAGGCAAAACTGAGGCTTGGAAAGATTAGGAAACTGGGATTGGTTTATGTTCAGTCTTAAAATATATTATTAATATATCAATAGACAGTTTTCCTGCCACTCACATACCCTTTGTCTCTCTATGCTTAGTGGGTATGGAATTGTATCAGTCTATACAAAGTTTTCTGTTTTTTTTTCATGTTAATGGTTTCTAGTGGTAGAACAATATATTTATATAGATTTGGGTAAACAACTAATTATAGATAAATATATAGAACACATGCATAATTTGGAACACTGTTTTTCAATCAGGACACACAGATTTTCCAAAGGTGCTCCTTAGACATGTCAGTTCCAGAATTTGAATCCAGTAGGAATGATTTACAGCATAAAATATTATGCTATGGAGGATGAAACTAAAATATATCTTGTGTTTTCTTTATATTTTTGTGATCCTTACAATAAGGAAGGTTTGGCATGATAGTTGTCTTACATGAATAAAAACATGATTTAATAAAATGGTATTTTACAAAGCTATAAAACTCTTAACATGAAAAACAAGTATGACTCTTCATGATGGTGGGGCAGATATAGGTTTACAGTTGTAAGTACATGAAAGAATGTTTATTCTTGTATTATTTATTATTTGTATCATTTTCCATACAAACAACTGTAACCCATCCTGTGTGACATCCAAAGCATAAGCAACAAAGGAAAAAACAGATAAATTGAACTTTTTCAAAATTACAAACTTCTCTGCATCAAATGGCACTATCAAGAAAGTAAGAAGACAACCCACAGGATGGGAGAAAACATTTGCAAATCTTTTTTGTATAAAGACCCCTTGATGCAACAGTGGAAAGACAAACAATCCAATTTAAAAATAAGCAGAGGACATTTCCCTAAATAGACATACAAATGGCCAATAAGAACATTAAAAGGTGCTCAACATCATTAGCCACTAGGAAAATAAGTCAAAATCACAATGAGATACTGCTTCATACCCACTAGGATGGCTATAATAACAATAATAACAATAATAATGAAAATAAGTGTTGGTGAGGATATGGAGAAATTGGAACCATCATACATTACTGGTAGGGATATAAAATTCTGCTGTCCCTTTGGAAAGAAGACTGGCAGTGTCTCAAGATGTTAGAGTTACTATGTGACCGAACAATTCCATTTCCAGGTATATGCCCAAGAGAATTGAGAGCATATGTTTTCATATGAAAACAGGTATACAAGAACTTGTACATGAATGCTCATAGCAGCATTATTAATGGCCAAAAGGAGGAAACAACCCAAATGTCCACCAGCTGATCAGGGGATAAACAAAATGTGCTGCATGCATACAATGCAATATTATTTAGCCATAACAAGGAATAAAATACTGGTGGATACTGCAAAATGGATGAACCTTGAAAATAATATTCTAAGTGAGAGAAGCCAGACAGGTAAGGCCACATACCATATAACTTCATTTAGGTGTGTTGTCCAGAACAGGCAAATTTACAGAAACTGAAAGTAGATTGGTGGTTACCAGGAAATGGGGGGACAGAGGAATTAGGAGTAACTGCTAACAGATAATGGGGTTTCTCTTTGGTGTGATGGAAATGTTCTGTAATTAGATAACAGTGAAAATTGTACAAGTCTGTGAACATACTGCTGAATTATACATTTACAAATGAATAAAATGGTGAATTTTATGTTATGTAAATTTTATCTCAGTTAAAAATGGCATTTTACAAGATTTCAGTGATATCTATATTTGAATAGCTAATTTAAATTAAATTTCTTTGCTCTTTATTGCAAGCAAACTTTATTTATTTTTATATTCTTTTCTGGTTTGATTTTGAGGCAACACCAGGTTGGGGTGGGGCATCAGCTTCCAGAGTTTTATCAGGACCTGTACTCTGGTTGTTTTGCTTCAACTTCTTTTTTTAATGTATTGAATTTATTGGGGTGACATTGGTTAATAAAATTATAGGTTTCAGGTGTACAATTAATTCTACAATACACCATCTGTGTATTGTATGGTGTGTTCACCACCCCTGCCTAACTTCTGACCAGCTAGTTTTATTGCTCCACCTTCAGAAGGTAAGGAAAAACCTGGTCATTACGAAAACTGGGTCCATCGGATGGCAAAACATTTGATGAATTTAACCTAAAAATCTAGCTGGGAATTGGACTTTTAGGAGTTAGGATTATGGTTGATTTTGGTGGGGAGAGGAGATGATAATGGCTCGGAAGGAAACACAAGGGTGGTTCCTGCATGCTGGACACTGGTTACAAGGGTGTGTTCAATTTGTGAAAATTCACCTGTGTATAGGCACCATTCTGAGTGTTGACTGTACTTCAATAACAAGTAAACAAGTCAGTTTAGCCTCCGATATTTAGCCACAGTCACTTAAGCAGGGACCAGAATTCACTGAACTGACCTGCTGACTTAGATATGACACCTAGCCATGGCTATTCTAAAAGTTTCTGT